ACAATGACTAATAATCCCGACAGTTCATTCACTCGACCTACAGGCAATGGAATTAGTGAATCGATGCCATTCACGTTATTTCTTTATTCTCGTGACTGTAAATGTATAGCCATTCTGAATTCCACACAAGGCTCACGCGTCCCTTCGGTCCGCGTTCGCAGCCAGGATAAGTGTTATAATAATTTTTGTTTACTTCGAAGCGAAAACTAATATTACCACGATAATCAGCGCATTCGATTACCTACGTGTCGACATTTTTTATTTAAAAAGAGCCAAAGTTGGCGAAAAATCAGCCGATTTTGAAACGCTTATAACTTGGCGAGGAAGCAAAATTTTCAGAGTTGCTTAGATACCATTCGAAAGAAGACCTCGACAAACCCAGTGAAAAAACTAAGAAAAATTTTCCACCGCAAAAAAAGGCTAGTTTTGTAAAATTTCGCTAATTTTATTTTTATGTGACTATGTAGCTAAGCGTTTACATCGTGATCACCAATTATTATATCAGCTTATCAATCATTATTTTGAACATAGGGAAGTCATTGATATTGACAGTGCTAATCGTGGTCGTGGTTCACCTACATATGTGCACACTTCTATCATCTCTCTCTGGAACATATTGCATCTATTGGTGAATTCATTATCACAGCACAACAAGGCACTGGTAGTACAGCAACATCTATTGCCCAACATCTCAAATCAACTTTCATATACATCACGCCACCTTAGTTTATCCATTACATCGGTTAGTTTATCAATTTGGTCGTGGTCATGTCATTAGTGGGAATCCACAAGATAAAACTCCACGCATAAGACAATTTATTATTGACTATGCTAATGCATTCAAATCAGAAGCGAACGGTGATAATGTTATTGTTTATATGAATGAATCTTATGTCAATACAAGACATGCATTAAATGGTACTTGGTATGATGCAACTACACCTATTGGTAATAAGGTAATACGCGGGACCGGGAAGAGAGCTAGGCTAATTATTGTGCATGCTATGACTCAACATGGTTTATTACATCATACGCATAGAGAAGGTGCTACTCGGGTTCAGAAAACACCAGAAATGATATGGACTGCTGGTAAAGCAAATGGTGATTATCATAAAAACATGGATAGTGTAACTTTTCTTTTATGGTTGGATAAGTATTTATTTCCTACATTACAACTCCTCTTTTCTAAGAAAATGATTTTGGTGTTAGATAACGCCTCATATCATAATGCACGTGGACCAGATTATATTGATCCTAATAAAAAAATGAATAAGTCAGAAGTGATTGAAAAACTATTATTATATAATATTCACAATGTTGAAGTAGAAAGAGAAGGAAAGGTACGAATGGATAGTAGTACATACAATAAACGTGGTGGTAGTAAAGCTCCAACATTATCTGAATTGCGAACTGCATTAGCAAATCATTCACAAAATATTGGCTATATAGTTTCCACTGATTATTTGGACGAAAAGCAATGAATGAGCAAATGAATATTCATTGCGACAACGAATAAATTTCCAAGCGGGACAGACATTCATCAATAAGGGAACGATGAAGGACACGAAAATAAATGAGCCCGGAAAAAAGAGAGAAGTGATCCCGGTTGCTTTAATTAACAAAAAAAAAGATGGAAATCAGCCCGGTTCAAAAAAGAAAAATTTATCGTCACAAAAGAGAGAAATGAGCCCGGTAATTTAGATTTGTTAAATATATTAAAAAATGATCAGTTTAAGAGCATTCTTTTAAAATCAATCTTAGAAGCACGTATATATAATCGTGATTAAAATTAAACATCAGTATGTAGTACATATATAACATTATCAATTCAACAAAAAAAATATCACGCAATTTAGTAAATACAAAATAATAACGATGCTTTTCTTAATCTTTTGTTAAAGCTGCTTTTACTTTTTTTGGTCTACCTTTTCCTTTTCTTTGACCAATTATTTGTGGAACAGTTTTAAAACCCCATATAATCATTAAACCGATTGTATGAACACATGAATATTCCTTTTGACCAAAA